TCACATGGATGTTTCTCTCTCTCTGTTCCTCTCTCTCCCTCCTGCTCTGTCTGAACAAAAAATGGAAAAATGTCCTCGGGTGAGGATTAAAAAAATGCACTTAGCCTACTGTTCTCCCCTTGACCAAATAGAGGAGGAAGTATGTCACTATAAACAGACTGCAGTTTTATGGCAAGGAAATCACATTTTTCCTTCTAAGAAAGATTTTCCCTCCTGGGGAACATTTTCTGCAGAGGCAAGGAAATCACAGTTTCCCCTCTAAGAAAGACTTTCCTCCTGGAGAATATTTTCTGCAGAAGCAACAACTAAACTTTTTTTTTTTTTTTTAATCCTCACCCGAGGATATTTTCCCATTTATCTTCAGATAGAGTGAGAGGTGAGAGAGAAAGAGAGAGAGAGAAACATCAGTGTGAGATAGACACACAGATTGGTTGCCTCCTGCAGGACCCCGACCAGAGCCAGGGACTGAACTGCAACCAAGGTACGTGCCCTTGACCAGAATCAAACCCAAGACTTTAGTCCACAGGCCGACACTCTAACCGCTGAACCAAACCAGCCAGGGCATAACTAAACTCTTTTTATCTGAGTCATCACAGTAAGTTAGATACCAGGGATACAACAATTAGCAAGGTGTGGCCTTTACCCTCAAAAATCTCTCTCTAAGCAAAATAGCATGGATAAAGAAAAGCAGCTGGAGAAAGATGTAAAAAGCTGACTAAATGAGAATTCCATCACCTGGCGCAGTGCCTAGAACACAGCAGGCATGCACACAGTGTTTATTGAATGAATTAATGCTATATTGGTCTGTAAATACAGTGTGTGATCATAGTGGAGGAAGTAATTAATTGTGTCTTGAGGGGTGGTCTGAGAGAATTTAGTTTTTGTATTTAATTACACATGGTTTCATGCATACGTAATTTATCGAGTCTTTAAATTCCATTTTAATATTTATTTTTGTTCTTTCCTCAAAACATCGCCTTGCTGGGGCAGCTGTTTCATTCTCTCCCAGCGTTCAGCTTGGTGCTGAGCAGATCAGATGATCGATAAATGCTTGTGGACGCTACCATTCCATAGGACTGCTTCAGCTGTGGTGCAGCTGCCTCTTCCTCTGCCAAGTTAGCCAGCCCAGTGTTCCTTTGCAGAAGCATGTGACTCAAGAACAAATAAGTCACAGCCATGTTCAGTTAGGCCAAGTAGGAGCACCTCTGTACCTCTCCACAGCCTGTTCCCCTACAGATAGCAGGGATATGCAGGGTGTGGCAAAAGTAGGCTTACAGTTGTTCATATGGAAAATAATACAATAATTAACAAATAATAATACAAGAATAAACTCTGGCCCAGCTGGTGTGGCTCAGCGGTTGAGCATCAACCCATGCACCAAGAGGTGACGGTTTGATTCCGGGTCAGAGCACATGTCCAGGTTGTGGGCCTGATCCCCAGTGGGGCACATGCAAGAGGCAGCCAGTCGATGTTCTCATTGATGTTTCTATCTCTCTCTCCCTCTCCCTTCCTCTCTCTCTAAAAATCAATAAAAAGTAAAAACAATGTTTTTGGGAAAAAAAAGAATAAAAATATGCTAATGCCCTGGCCGGTTTGGCTCAGCGGTTAGAGCGTCGGCCTGCGATCCAGAGACACCTGGGTTCAGTTCCCGCTAAGGGCACGTACCTCGGTTGCAGTTTGGCCCTGGCCCTGGTTGCGTTATGCGGGTGGCAGCCACTTGTGTACCTTTCACGTCGATGTTTCTCTCTCTCTCTTTTCCTCTCTCTCCCTCCTACTCTATCTGAACAAAAAATGAAAAAATTTCCTCGGGTGAGAATAAAAAAAAATATGCTAACAAGTAATTCAGTTGATTCTAGGATTTTTTTTTAAGGCAGAAATCATATGTTTAAAATTTGTTCAAAGATGATGCAGATATTTCTGTCCTTCTAGGCTCCTTAGCTTCTAAAATTTATGAAAACGTACACTGACAGCACACAAAGCTATTTGGAGGATGAGCAAAAGTTTTCATCAAGACTAATGACTTCATTAGTCTTCAAGATTTATTTTTTTAAATCTTGAGAAATGGTAAAGTGAATTTCCTCCACAATTTTATTTTTATTTTATTTTATTTATCTTTATTGTTGAATGTATTACAGATGTTCCTCATTTTTCCCCCATTGACCCCCTCCTCCCCACTCCCGCCCCTTCCCACACTGGTTTATTTCTTCCCACCCCCAACCCCTTTCCCTTTGAGGTTTGTCAGTCTAGCAAGAATTTGTTCTTCTTAATCCCTTCACCTTTTTCACCCATTCTCCCAACCTCCTCCCATCTGGCAACCAACAAAATGTTCTCTGTATCTATAAGAATGTTTCTGTTCTGCCTGTTCATTTTGCTTGTAGATTCCATTGTCGATAGATATGTATTCATTGCCATTTTGTTTGTTCATATATTTTATCTTTTTTCTTCAAAAAGACCCTTTATCATTTCATATAATAACAGTTTGGTGGTAATGAACTCCTTTAACTTTCTCTTGTCTGGGAAACTCTTTATATGGCCATTAATTCTAAATAACAGCTTTGCCCTGGCTGGTTTGGCTCAGCGGTTGGAGCGTTGGCCTACCAACCTGAGAGTCCCGGGTTCGGTTCCCACTAGGGGTACATACCAAAAAAAAAAAAAAAAAATGTGATTGTTTCCTAAATGACAGCTTTGCAGGATAGAGTAATCTTGATTGTAGGATCTTGCTTTTCATCACTCTGAATATTTCTTGCCAGTCCCTTCTGGCCTGCAAAGTTTCTTTTTTGAAAAATCAGCTGACAGTCTTATGGGGACTCCCTTGTAGGTAACTAACTGCTTTTCTCTTGCTGCTTTTAAGATTCTCTCTTTCTTTTGAACCTTTTGCTTTTTTGATGATGATGTGCCTTGGTGTAGGCCTCTTGGGGTTCATCTTGTTTGGGACTCTCTGTGCTTCCTGGGCTTGTATGTCTGTTTCCTTCACCAAGTTAGAGAGTTTTATGCAATTATTGTTTCAAATAGGTTTTCAATTTCTTGTTCTCTCTCTTCTCCTTCTGGCACCCCCAAGATGGGAATGTTGGTACGCTTGAAGTTGTCCCAGAGGCTCCTTACACTATCCTCATTTTGGGGGGGATTCTTTTTTCTTTTTGCTGTTCTGATTGGGTGTTTTTTGCTTCCTTATATTCCAAATCGATGGTTTGCTTCTTGGCTTTACCTACTCTACTATTGAATCTGTGTAAATTATTCTTTATTTCAGTTAGTGCCTCCTTCATTTCTGACTGTGCCTCCTTCATTTCTGACTGTGCCTCCTTCATTTCTGACTGGTCCTTTTTTATGCTCTTGAGGCCCTCACTAAGTTCACTGAGGTTCTCACTAAGTTCATTGAGCATCCTTATAAGCAGTATTTTGAACTCCGCACCTGTTAGGTTGTTTATCTCCATTTCGCTTAGTTCTTTTTCTGGGGTTTTGTTCTGTTCTTTCATTTGGGACCTGTTTCTTTGTCTCCTCATTTTGGCTGTCTCCCTGTGTTTGTTTCTATGTATTACTTAACGAGAGGTATGGGGCTAGCTGAGACCAGATGCTGCTTGTTTGAAAGAATTTAGGAAAACCTGAAGTAGGATCCAAGACAGACCAATCCTATGGTAAAGCAACTGGCAACAGCTTGGGTGGGCCTGAAAGTTGGGTGGGGCAGGGCCTCAGGGAGTCACCAAGGCGGGGCAATCAATGTGAGCCAGGTTGTGGGAGTCCCAGATACGGTGGCTGTCTGCAGCCCCAGGGAAGGGCTCACCAAAGGAACAAGGGCCTCTGACAGCACGTTTGTCCAGGAGAAAACCCCCTCTCCAACCCTCTCTCCAATGCCAAACAGCTTAGTTCTTCCCTGTATGTCTCTGATGCGTCTTGAGCTGCCTCCCCTCCAAGCTTAGAGGGAGTGAGTCTGATAAGTCTGTGTGCGGGCCCTTTAAGAGGAGCTGCCTGGGGCTTCAGCCACCGCAGCCTCCCTGAGCCTCAGTTCCTGCTGGTTTTTCCAGCCAGAAGTGATGGGGATTCTCTTCCTGGCACTGGAACCCTGAGCGGGGCACCTGGTGTGGGACGGGGACCCCTCAGTCCTCAGGGAGGACCTTCCCAGCCGAGGTGTCCCCCTGATTTTTATCTGCCACACGTGGGTGTGGGCCCAGCCCGTCCCCTCCGCCCTCCTACCAGTCTGGATGTGGCTGCTGCTTTAATTCCGTAGTTGTAGGACTTCCATTCAGCTTGACTTCAGGTGGTTCTGAATGATGGTTGTTCTATAGTTTAGTTGTAACTTTGATGTGGTTGTGGGAGGACGTGACACCGTGTTTACCTACCCACCATACTGACCGGAAGTCTCCTCCACAATTTTAAATGGGGCCTAAAGTTTTTTGTATTATTTTGGTAGCGTGCTTAAACATTGAGACATCGAGAAAAACAATGTATATCACCTTCTATTTGTTGTAACTTTTTTCCTTCTTTTAAAAATAAAAGTTGTCTTCCATATACAAAATGAGTTCCTATTCATTTAGCACTTGTCATAGGCTGGGGTATCTAAAATTATTACATCAAAATTGCACAGTCCTACACAGTAGGAATTAGGATTTCCATGTTAGAGATAAGGGAGTGTTTTGGTGAGTTGCCTGAGACCACACAACTAGGAAGCAGCTCAGCCCAAATCTGGACCAGTTGAGTTCACAGGGCCTGTGTTTTCTCAGGGCTATTGTAAAGCAGCACATTCGGGCCACCCAAAGATCCAGACTCCCTCCTTTATTTTTGCAAATAGAACAGGTTCGATTCTATTGAAGGTAACAGTGAGAACATCAATCTCAGTGGGGGAAGCCAGGGAAAGTCCCGGATAATTTCCTTGGTGACCCGCAGATGACCTGGAACTGCATCCGACCTCCTGGATGTCTTTGAGTCTGACGCTAAATCTGGCCTCGTGAAGAATTCACAGAAAATACGTTTATAAAATTTTTTTTGATCTTGCAGCCCTTTCCATGGGAAAATGGTGAAGATGTTCCATTTCATCCTTCTTGCCACTACCCTGGTAATGGGCAGGGAAAGCTGGGTAAGCTCATTACAAAAACTATTGTAGTTATGATGCCTGTTTTGATCTGAATTTTATTTTGCAGAAAATCCATAGTAACTTGTCACACTGAAGGACTTAACTAAGGGGGGAAATGAAGGTTTGTGGCAGCATTTGCCACATAATAGGCACTTACCAAGTGCTTTAAAAATTTTTTGAAGTAAAAATCAATATCGACAACAAATAAGTATACTCTTTTTTAATTTACTGGGGTTAGCCCAACTGGTGTGGCTCAGGGGCTCAGTGGTTGAGCGTCGACCCATGCACCAATAGGTCACTAGTTCGATTCCTGGTCAGGGCACATGCCCAGGTTGTGGGCCTAATGCCCAGTGAGGGGCATGCAGGAGGTGGCCAATCGATGTTCTCTCTCATCGCTGTCTCTGTCTCTGCCCTTCTCCCTTCCTCTCTCTCTAAAATAAATTAAATAAATAAATAAATACCTATAAATCTTAGTGGCTTAAAACAATGATTCTTTAAAAAAATTTTTACCAGAGTTATTTGGATGGTTACATAACATTAGAAATTTAAAACTGTCCATTAAAACGGACCTTGAGCTTTCTACTACTGAACAATATTAACATAAACTGGACAGATTATTTGAAAGTAATTACAATGAACTCACACCTTCCTCTATTCATGAGTAAACAGGTAAAAATATCATTTACTCAAAGTTCTGGGAGAGAGAAATCTCCTAAGTTTTAAATATGCTTATTAACACTATATATCCAGTCTCATAGAGATTAAACATCCTTGCCCTGTAATCCCTTTAGTTATTTTTAAATCTCACAGTCCACTATATTTAACAATATCACAACAAATTTCCCATCGTTAGAAAGCAACACAGGATTCCAGACACCTTAAAATGTCTTTCCTGCTCATTTTCAGACAGGTGTGACCCAGGGGGCTAAGAGGATAAATCAGACAGGATAAACCAAGAGCAAATCATTAATAGTCCTGGAGAAATAGCTGGGAGTCAGTGACTTGGGCCAGGAGATGGGAGGGGGAGGCCTCTACCGCCCTTCTCCATTCTCTGGTGATTTCTGTATTTACATTACAATCCTTTGTAGGAAAGCAGTGTACCTCTTTCCTTTGTCCCAAAGAGGATATCAAATTGTGCTGTTCTGATTGCCTAGCAGAGGGCCTAGGATACAGTAGGTCCTCATATTTATGGAATGAATACAAGGTAGTACATAAAGATAGGAACGGGGGTTATGCAAATATATCTGACTGTACCGTGAAGCACTTACAATTGAAATGGATAATTTCTCAGAAGTGAACATTTACATGTACCACAGGAGATTATGACATGAGCTGCAAAGAGAAATGTCAAGGTAAAAATGGCAAACATTTGTCTATTGTCCTTTTTTTCGACTAGCTTCTTGGCCTCAGTGCCTCTTCCCAGGAAACTCAGCTCTGCAGCCCTCCTTCTCCATTTACCCGTCACATTTGCTTTACCTTTGGAGGGTTTGCTCAGTCAGATGCCTCTTTAAAAAGGAGCTGCCAGCCCTGGCCGGTTTGGCTCACCGATAGAGCATTGGCCCATGGACCAAGGAGTTGCAGGTTCGATCCCAGTCAAGGGCACGTACCTCAGTTGCAGTTTGTCCCCTGCCCTGGTCGGGGTAGGGCTGTGCAGGAGGCAACCAGTCAATGTGTCCCTCTCATGTCGATGTTTCTCTCACCCTCACACTCTATCTGAAGATAAATAGAAAAAATATTCTCAGGTGAGGATTAAAAAAAAGTAGAAAGGAGCTGATAAACTCTCACTTGCAATGTTCTTGGGTTATTTGCCTCCTTAGAGAAGATAAATGACTTAACTGGGAGACTCAGTCCTCTCCCATCCCTTTTTTACGGTGATTGAGGAAAAAAACAGTAAATAAGCAACAAGTTAAAGTGAGTCCAGTAGAATTTTCAGCAAAGGTAAATAGATGAGATATTCAAGGACATGAGAGTCTAAACTAAGCATTCTTTATAAAAGTGTCTATATGTCTAAGACTCTAAGCATTCAATTATAGTTTTAAAACATATTAATACCAAAAGGTCATTCAAAAGCCTAGTTTATTTTACTGGCAAGAAAGCACTTAATGTCATGTAGAGATTGAGAACAGAAATCCTGAGCTAGATTTAAATCTGCCCACTGGGAATTCTTGAACATGTTTCTTCATCAGAACTGAGCCCATTTCTACCTCATGGAATAGTTATGAGGGTCAAATGAGACAGCGACTCTAAAATCTTAGCATAATCACTCAGATTATTTTATTTTATAACATCATTTTAGTTCAAGCACATTAGCATAAGCCATGATTTCTTATTTTTCAAGTAACAAATAGCATTAGAACTTTCATACTACTTCCTGGTTGGAATAATATTCTGACACAAGAATTGGGAACAAAATTGAATCATTAATTTATCCAACTTACCCGGAGCATTTACTTTTCATGAGAACAAGATGCACGTTACTTTGCAGGCTTTGGAGAACTGTCTCCAGGAGCAGGTGCGTCTCAGAGCCCAGGTGCACCTGCTTGAGACCCGGGTCAAACAGCAACGGGTCAAGATTGAACAGCTTTTGCATGAGAAGGAAATCCAGCTCCTGGATAAAGAGGACAGCGGAGTGATCGACATTGGAGGCAAGAGGCAATATGCAGGTCAGAATCTATTGTTCTCTAGTGATTTAATAACTTTTACACTGACATGCAATGATGGTGCTAATCATTTGATCACTTCAGGTTTTTGCTAAAGAACTTTTCCTAACAAGATACATGAAGCATTATACCAAATTTAAATGTCTTCCACCACATTTTATTCTTTTTCTGCTGTTATCTCTGCAGGGGACATTTAATATCAATACTTAAGATCTGAGAATTTCTATAGTTTAATATGAGCTCGAGACAATAGATTGTATAATATCCGTGTGCAAATGGCAGATTATACTTGAAAAATTTTACAATTGAGCTTTGTTTTTATTTGTGTATTTACACAAATACATTTAAACAGTTTTTTCTTCTGAAAGTCTGATGTGCCCTGGGGTAATAAATAAAGTAGTAAAATAAAAAGTTAGAGAAGGAAAGGAATGAACATTATTTAGGAATATAAAAGAGTTGTTTTATGTTTATACTTTACAGTTTGGTGATTTCCCTTTCAATGAGGCCAATGTTTCCCCCTAGAAAATAATCTTCGACTGTCGACACATGTACCTAGCACTAACTATATCATTATCACCTATAGAAAACTACTCACCTGATTTCCTCCAGGCACCTTTTAATGTGAACAAACAATAGTAGTCAGACATAACAATTATGTTTATTTATATGTCTGCCCCAGCTTCTGCCATGCTGTATTATAATTTATCTGTTTATGAGTTTATCTTGGTCAATTATCTGGGTACTTTGTAAGGTCTGGGATGATGTTTAATGCATTCTTCCCTCCCTATTGCCTGTCGAGTACCTGGAATATAGTCTCACATTTATGAACGAAAGTAAAGTTGTACATAGAGATAGGAATAACAAGAATAAACAAATATAAACTGGGAAATACATTTGACTATAATTTAAAAACTGTAAAGGCTAAAGAGATGCCAAGCTGATGAGAATAAAAACGCCTTTACTTCGTATTTCCAAATATACTCACCAGTGTTGAATATAAGAGTTGTGAGGATGTTAGAACCTGTGTTTCAATAAAATGCTCCCCTTCCCTCTCTTTACCAAGCTCCTAATCTCTCTTTGCTCAGACCCTCTGTTGCCTAGCAGCTTGATCCTGTATCCTCGGTCCTTGGAGTACAACGGCCCTTTCCCCATTAGGGATCAGGAGGCCAGGGCCACTGGGAATGGAAATAAATGAGGATGGGCTGTGGCACTGGAGCACAGAACCTGAAGGAACCAAAGACAGTCCTGGTCAAAGCAGACTTGGAAAACAAAGGGTTATCTGAATCAGTCGCAGGAGCAAAGAATCAGGATCCGGAACCTATGAAGAGAACTCGCCCATTGAAGAGTAGGCAGGACTGTGAAAGAAGGCTCAGGAAAGCAATCACACAGGAAGTAGAAGAGGTTGAGAGTCCCTGAAGACAATGATTCTCAGCTGTTAGAATCACCAGGAGACCTTTTAAAATGCTGATACCCATTGAGAACGGTGACAGGTCAGATATTTTACTCTATTTGCAAATTAATAAGCTAGCTGGCCCTGGTTCCAGGGACTCTGGCAGAAGATAAGAGACTCCTGGGTCAGAGCATGAACTTCATGTTTACATCGGTATCCCTGGCCTGCAGTGTGGAATAATCCAGGTGGACAGCGTGCAGGTGGTGGGCCATGTCACAGCTGAGGAATCCTATGTTTATGAAATCCCACTCTTTATACTGGGTGATAAGAAAATCTGCCCAACTTTTGCCCAGAGAGAAATGTTATCTTTATTGTGAACGAAAAGGAGTCACATGCTAACCTGACAAGTTCAGGGGAGGCCTGTGTGGTGGCCTTGCAAAGTCAAAGACCTAAGGTAACCACACAGGATGGTCTGAAATTAAAACTTTTTAACTAAAAGCAGTTTATGGCAGGTTGTCATGTCCTAGGCCAGCATCTACCCTGACAAAGGTCAGTCTTTACCTTAACTGAGCCTGTCTATTGTCTTTTTGCATCTATGATAACATGTCTTTGGAAAGTCAAAGTAATTTCCCTTTTTCTGGACCCCTCAAAGCACAGGCACCACTCTGCAGAGACCACAAATCACCTCAAGGTCAAGATCAGGGTGTCTATTCAGACACCATCTGAACAGGTTGTCAACACAGATTCAAGCATCAGATAATGGCAGGAGGCAGACAATTGGATGTTTATCACTGGGAGTGTGCTACCAATCATGAGAAGACTGAGGTTCAAGATCTAAAAACCTGATCCCTGGGTTGAGAGTGCTGGGAGCAGACCTTAGAAACAAGAGGTCACCAGGGAGTAAGGCAAGAAATCAGTTACTAAGAAATGGAACTATCAGGGTCACAGCAGGACTGAGTATATAAGCAAGAATCGGGTAGAAGAGTCATGTGGACAGAATCTAGACAAACCATTATGTTGTGTGTGTGTTTCTTATAACATTATCACACTTATAATGTTAGAAGAGTAGGCATTCTAGATTACTGTTTCTAGATATAACAGTTAAAAAATTCCAGAAGTCAGTAGATCCATGTTTAAGTTTTTTCATATATGGTGCAATCATGAAGGAAGTGAGGGAGGAATAAACTATGAAATAGAATTACAGTTCAATTGTACTTTATTTTTCAGCCTATAGGGATAGTACTAGAGAGCCTAACGAGGGCAAACACTCAATAAATAAAATATATAATAACATAAATTCTAATAGAATATATAATATACTATAGCATTTATGTTATATATAATTATATATAATATTATGTATAATATATAAGAACTTGCACACACCAAAATTTATGTTTTTGGTGTCCTTAAAGAAATAGTCATGTATATGGTCTATAGAAATATAAATTATTTTGTTTTTATTTACAAGTTACTATATTATTACTAAATTAATTCTTTTCTGAATTCTAATTCATCTCATGGTAGAAAACACCTAATTACATATAGCCTAGCAATTTATGCAAATGGTGTGCAAACTGCATGATTTTTATATAACATAATTAAATACATCTTTTTAAAAGTTTTCTAGTGCTACTGAATTGTGGAGTTAAATTAAAAGATTATACTACCAAATTCACATTAACTGGTGACATTCACAATAGCCTGTGGCATCATAGCTCTTCAGCCACAAGATTACTGGCGTAACTGTGTCCCCTTCTGCAGGAGCCCCAATCTTTCCTAGAAGGTCTCGTGAGGCAGTCTGTGTCGTGGTCAAGGTATAGACCCTGAAGCCTGGTTTCCAATCTCTTGAGGCAGTCTGTGTCGTGGTCAAGGTATAGACACTGAAGCCTGGTTTCCAATCTCTTGAGGCAGTCTGTGTCGTGGTCAAGGTATAGACACTGAAGCCTGGTTTCCAATCTCGTGAGGCAGTCTGTGTCGTGGTCAAGGTATAGACCCTGAAGCCTGGTTTCCAATCTCTTGAGGCAGTCTGTGTCGTGGTCAAGGTATAGACCTGAAGCCTCGTTTCCAAGTCCAGCTGCCCGTCTTATGGCCTTTGGAAAGTTGTTTACCTCTGCGAGCCTCATTCCTCATTTGTATAATGGGAATGATAAGAATACTTGTTTCTTTGTTGTAAAGATCTAATGAGCTAACGTACATGTACTAGATTACAAAAGCATTCAGCATTTAGCTCGATGAACGTCAGCTATCTATGTTATTAGAGGAGTCCCTGCTTATCCTCAGGAAATACATTTCAAGACCCCCAGTGGATACCTGAATCGACAGACAGTGCCAAACCTGATATACTATGTTTTTTCCTATACATACATGCCTTTCCACTTAAGGAGGAACTTTAAGGCTTCTATTTGGCATATCCAAATGGCCAACAACACTTGGTCTGGAGGTCATTATTAATAAAATAAGGGTGATGAACCCAAGCACTACAGTACTGAGACAGTCGATCTGGCCACAGAGAAGGGCACTAGGTGACTAACGGATGAGGAACCATTTTTCTGCCAAGGGCCATTTGGATATTTATAACATTATTCGTGGGCCATACAAAATTATCAACTAAAGAATTATCAAGCTATATTTGGTCAGGCCAATTTGGTGAGGCACATGATGTCAGCTGGTATTACTTTTTTTTTTCCAATCCTCACCAGAGGATATTTTTACATTAATCTTCAGATAGAGCTAGAGAGAGAGAGGGAGGAAGAGAGAGAGGGAGAAATATCGATGTGAGAGAGAGACAACTATTGGTTGCCACCAGCACAACCCCAATTGGGGCCAGGGATGAACCACAACAAAGGTATGTGCCCTTGGCCAGAATCGAACCTATGACTCATTGGTCCACAGGCAACACTCCTACTGCTGAGCCACAGCAGCCAGGGCCTAGCTGGTTTTGATTTTGCAGGCCTTATATGGATGGAGCGGAGTGGGACTTGTGAGATATCACACTACTCAGAAAAGCTCACAATGTAAAACATGAATTGTTTATTTCTGGAATTTCCCATTTAATATTTTCAGACTGCAGTTAGCCACAGGTAACTAAAAAAATGTAAAGCAAAACAGTGGATGAGGGGGGACTACTGTATCCTCTCTCCCTGGTGTTCCCAAGAGAGAGCCTACTCACCCCACCCTACAAGAGGGCTGCACTCTCCACGGAGCCATAAGAGGTTCTTCTCTTCCGTTTCCTTCTGATGTCCCTGGAGGCTGAGAACTGCAGTGGGAGGGCCAGTTCCAGCATTTCCCGACATGCCCCTGGAGAGGCAGCTGACCTCTTGCGGGCTTTTCTTTGAGTTTAGAATGTACCCCCCTTAGTGCCTTTAGTTCTCAGCTTGAAGCTCAGCCTGCATTCTGGGACCAGAGGAAAAGCCCATTTGGCAGGTTGTCATGTCACTTTATGAAAAGCTTGAACATTCAGACTGTTTGATCATTGCGTTTTACGTGATCAAAGAAAGTATTCACCTCACTCAGTTTAATGCGGTGTTTGTCAAATGGGGCAAGAAGCCTTGGCCTCACTCTAGTATTATGTAAGTGTCCAAAAATCCTTTCTTTCTTTCTTTTTTTTTAACTCCCATAAACAGAGCTCTTGAACCCTGCCCTTCTCCTGTCTATTTTTCAGTGGGCGTGGGTGGGGCAAAACATGTGGAAAATGATAGTTTTAAATAGTTAATATTGAAAACCCGCCCTGGCCGGTTTGGCTCAGCGGTTAGAGCGTCGGCCTGCGGTCCGGAGAGACCCGGGTTCGGTTCCCGCTAAGGGCATGTAGCTTGGTTGCAGTTTGTCCCCGGCCCTGGTTGGGTCGTGTGGGTGGCAACCACTCGATGTGTCGCTTATCTGAACAAAATATCGAAAAATGTCCTCGGGTGAGGATAAAAAAAAAAAATATATTGAAAACCCTACATTGTAAGACCTCCCTGCTCCGGCCGTGGAAGTTGCATTTCCCCAAGGCAGGCGCCTAACTTATTTGCTATGAGCAATTTTGCTACAGGAGCTTGATTTGTATGTTGGGCATTGGGTTTTTGTTTTTGTTTTTCTCCAGTCGAAAGCTTTCCTCTGCATCTGAAGTTGCATTTGACATTTTCCTCTGGGAAAAAGAAAAATTTTTTAAAAACACAAACAAACTCACATTTGGCATAAAATAAAAACAAATAGGAAATGTTGGCTGAAAACTCCATATTCACAAAGTTTGCCAGAGCCAAACATTATAGCTAATTATTTTCATATTTGACTGAAAAATAGTCTGAGCCTTATGAGACTACTATTCAGCATTTTGGTAGGAGGTTAAATGTAAGCAAAGAGCTCCTTTCTTAACAAATAAAGCTAAAATCTGCCTACTTTAATGAAAAGTGGCCTTCAAAATACTTGCGTACAAGATATAAGCTTTAGAACAACATTGAAATATTTTTTTTAATCCTCACCCGAGGGCATTTTTTCATTCTTTGTTCAGATAGAGTAGGAAGGAGAGAGAGGAAGAGAGAGAGAGAGAAACATTGATATGAAAGGGACACATCGAGTGGTTGCCACCCGCATGACCCAACCAGGGCCAGGGACAAACTGCAACTGATGTACGTGCCCTTAGCGGGAACCAAACCCGGGTCTCTCTGGACCGCAGGCCGACTCTCCAACCGCTGAGCCAAACCGGCCAGGGTTAACATTGAAATAATTTTAGATAACCATTTGCCTATTGTTTTACTCTCATTTAATTGACAAAACAGGATATTTCTTTATAATTCAGTAGTATTAAGAACACTGGGCTTCTGAATCTCAAAAATAAATATGTGAATAAGGCTTAAATCATTACAAAGATGATCCTCTCATCAAAGCAATAGTGTGTGATTTTTTTCAACTTGGGGAGGGATTTAGAAAGTGACTAAGTGTCTTTCTTTTCTTTTTCACTTTTTTTCTTTAATGATTTTAGAGAGAGAGGAAGGGAGAGAGAAAGAGAGAGATGGAAACATCAATGAGAGAGAACATCGATTGGCTGCCTCCTGCATGCCCCCCACTGGGGATAAGGCCCACAGCCTGGGCATGTGCCCTGACCGGGAATCAAACCAACGACCTCTTGGTACATGGGTCGATGCTCAACCACTGAGCCACACCGGCTGGGCAAGTTTCTTTATTTTCTTTTATCTTCTGATTCCTGTTGCTTATTCAATCTAAACTGGAGTATACTTTGTTAGTAATAAAACATAGTTGTAAACAATTTGGCATTAAAACAATGAAAATGAAGAAATAACTTAAAAATATGCTAAACAAATGGAATTATCCAATCGGGAAGAGAGAAAAAAATTTTTTTAAGATATGAAATTAACAAAATGATAAGGGTAAAATCTGAAAGTTAGTGATGTCATATTATAGTATTTTAATTCAAAAGTCTATAAATGAGCCCTGGCTGGTTTGGCTCAGCGGTTAGAGTGTGGGCCTGCGGTCCAGAGAGACCCGGGTTCGGTTCCCGCTAAGGGCACGTACTTCGGTTGCAGTTTGTCCCCGGGCCTGGTTGGGGTCGTGTGGGTGGCAACCAGTCGATGTGTCCCTTTCACGTCAATGTTTCTCTTTCTCTTTCTCCCTCCCACTCTATCTGAACAAAAAATGGAAAAATGTCCTTGGGTGAGGATTAAAAAATAATAATAATAATAATAAAAAGTCTATAAATGAGTATTCTTGAAATGATCTCTGTTTAGTGGTCAATATTTCTTTTTTTTTTATGAATTTTTTATTTATTTTTTTGTTACAGATATTTTACCTTTTTACCCCATTGGCACCCCCCACCCCACCTCCGCCCCGTCCCCGGCTTAGTTGTCCATGTCCATTGGTCATGCATACATGCATATAAGTTCTGTGGTTTATCTCTTCCCACCCCCACCCCCACCCCCTCTTCTGAGGGATGTCAGTCTGTGCCCTACTTCCATGTTTCTGGGTCTACTGTATTCCTCAGACTGTTATGTTCATTATATTCCGTATATAAGTGAGATCATGTGGTATTTGTCTTTTTCTGCTTGGCTTCTTTCACTTAGGATAATACTTTCCAGGTCCCTCCATGTCGTCTCAAAGGATAAGAGATCTTTCTTTCTTAAGTGGTCGATATTTCAACCACCCTAAAACATAGGCATCTAAACCATAGCTAAGTCTACACTTGCCATATTCTGTACAGATCAGCCTAAATGAGACCCAATTATATTAATATATCGGACCCTAAAATACTTCAAGAAATAGATATTATTTTTGGTGACAGATTGGTAGCTATGTTTGAGTCAGTGAAATACCATGCAGAGAAGAATACTGGGATAAAAAAAATAATAGAAACGTTTAGTGTTCAGTAACAATATCTAAAAAGACATTTCAGTGGTTTAGTAAAAAATCTGGTAAGACTGGGAGGTTGTAAGAATCTAATAAGACAATTACTCTTTCGAGTTTATTTCCAGATGTTCTGAATGATTTGTAATTCTCTAAATCAAGGTAACCTATATTATTTGTTTGGTATCATATTCCTACTTTCATTTTTGCTTCAGAGAAAAGATAAGTTCCACTATTCTGTCTGATAAATCTGTAAGTTCTATTTATATAAACTATACTTAACTGAACATGAATAATTTAAAGATTGTTTTCCACAAAAATTAGAAATGAGAAAGCAGATCCCTATTTCACCCCCCTTTTTTTTCATGATCATCTCAAGGAGTTAGAGGATAGTTAAATACTAGGAAAAGAAATGACTTTCCTAATATCTACTGGAAGATGTACAAGATACAATTTTAAAAAGCTAATTATCTATATCACATGTTTATCTGTCTTCCTTAGTAGTGAGTAATCTCAGAGTCTCCCTTTATTAAAAAAAAAAAAAGACGCATAACAAACATGACATTACCTTGTTTTGCAAACAGATTGTTCAGAAATTTTCAATGATGGCTTTATGCTCAGTGGATTTTACAAAATCAAACCTCTCCAGAGCCCAGCAGAATTTTCTGTTTATTGTGACATGTCTGATGGAGGAGGATGGACTGTAATTCAGAGACGGTCTGATGGCAGTGAGAACTTTAACAGGTGTGTTAATTATGACGTAAGGGTTTATTTGGAGTAGCACCTATGAAATTTATAATAAGTAAACCATTTTGTCCTGTTCTAAAGTCTACTAGTTAGACAGACTGTCACTCTCTCTAAATAAGAATACTGAAAGTACATTAACAAATCAAGGGAATCCTGGGCGTGGGAGCAGCCGTGAGGGGTGTGGGCACCTTGGGTATTGCAAAGGTCTATTTGGAGTTTGCTAAAATCAGCTTTCACTTTAAATGTTTTAGAGACTGGAACGACTATGAAAATGGCTTTGGAAATTTTGTCCGAAAAAATGGTGAATATTGGCTGGGTAATAAGAATCTTCACTTATTAACCACACAAGGTAAGATTTACCTAATATCAAATTCATTGGAAATACAATAAAAATAACACTAAAATGTTGGGTTTTTGTTTTTTTTAACTAAATCATAAACAATAGAACTCACTCAGTAACTACTATAATTTGCAGATGGCAACGGTCCCTTCAGGGCAATAATTCCCTTTATAAAATGTGGCTGCTTAAAAGCTAAGAGTAGAGAAAAAGAAACTAGACCTGAGTTGGTGGTGGGTAATTTCTCATATTTTTATTTTATTTTATTTTAATCCTCACCTGAGGACATTTTGCCATATTTTATTCAGATAAAGCGGGAGGGAAAGAGAGGAAGAGAGAGAGAGAAACATCGACGTGAAAGGGACACATCGAGTGGCCGCCACCCACATGACCCAACCAGGGCCGGGGACAAACTGCAACCAAGGTACATGCCCCCAGCGGGAACCGAACCCAGGTCTCTGTGGACCGAAGGCTGATGCTCTAACCACTGAGCAAAACCGGCCAGGGCTCATATATGTATTTTCTATTTCTGCGAAAGAAATGTAATGTCATAATCATTTTTTTTTTTTTTAATCCTCACCTGAGGACATTTTTGCATTTAGCTTCAGAGAAGGCGGAGGAGAGGGATAAAGAGAGAAACATCGACGTGAGAGACACATAGAGTGGTTGCCACCCACATGACCCCAACCAGGGCTGGGAACAAACTGCATCCGAGGTACGTGCCCTTAGCAGGAACCGAACCCAGGACTCTCTGGACTGTGGGCCAACGCTCTAACCACTGAGCAATACCAGCTAGGGCATAATTATTCTTTTTTAAATGCCTTAAGTCCCTCAAAATATACCTAGGTTACAGTTATCTATTGCCACCATAATACTGTGGAACAAGCCACTTCAAAATGTAATGGCTTAAAGTCCCAGCCATTTGTTTTTCCTCACAGATCTACAAGTTAGCTGGGTGGCTCTTCTGATCAGGACTGTGCTCTGATGGTCTTGGCTGGGCTTGCTCAAGGGCTTGTGATTAACTTTCTGGTCAGCTGGCGGCTGGCTTTTCTAGGTTGGTCTCAGATGGAACAATTCAGCTCTGCTCCGCATGGTCTCTCATCTTCGAGCTAGCTAGCCTGGACTTGTTCTTGTAGCGCAGTCAGATTTCCAAGAAACAGTGGAAATACATGCCTCTCGACTCAGAACTGGCATGCAGTCATTTTCATGGCCTTTTGTTGGTGAAGGCAAGTCACAGGCTACCCGAGACGTAAGGGGAAAGGAAATAGACTTCTTGGGAGGCCTTACAAAGTCCCATTGCTAAAGGGGACGTGAAGCATTGGGGGGATTGGGGCTGTTTTTGCAATCCAATACCATAATATGCTAACTGACCTTGTTTCCACCCCTCTTCCAAATTTGATTTGAAAATTTCAGACATAGCAGAACTAAAAGAAGTTTTAACCTATCACCTATACTCTACATTAATATTTTATTCGACTTGTCTTTCCTTATATTTATCCATCTCTCTGCCTATCAATTCATTTTCTTTGAAACATTTCAAAGTAAATTGCAGACATCTATAAAATTTCCCCTAAATACTTTTGCATGGATACCTTTAATTAGAGTTCAGTATTTGTCTAAAATATTATTTTGATAACCACTTTTCAGAGCTTCTCTTTCCATGTTCTTTTGCTGCAATCAATTGCCATCTGAGATTGTAGTCAGCTCCACTCAGGTCTGATTCTAAATGTTTCATAAAAAGCAATTGTATTACTCAAGAAAGCATGCTAGCAATGCATTAAGTGTAAGAACAAGAGTTTACTCGATTCCATTCAAGTTAAGGAAAGTGGTGGTGTTTCTATATTCATAATTGCCAGTAGGATTATAATTATAGGGCTCGTTGAGACTCTGGAATAATAGAGAGGATGGATAATCAAAATTACCTAATACTTTTTTTGTTTGTCCTTCTTGTGTCTAATGTTCTCTAAATTTCAACGTAATTATCTTACTTTTAAGTGTTTTTTCATAGATATATAATATTTATCGTACCCACTTGTTTCTTTCAAAAATGAATAGACATCTGGTTTCTTATTGAAACTATAAAAACCTCAAAAAGTAACCCATGGCTCCTTCTAAATACACAAAATTCATACTTATTATTTTTTGAATTATTATTAAGTGGTTATTTACCCAGATACACTTTGCCAACACATCAGCTTCCCCTTCATCTTTTGATTAGTGTTCAGTCTAGCTACCTTCATGGAAGCAAAAATGAATGTATCAGTTCTAGACTCCACAACCACATATCATATCATCCTAAGGAAAAACAATGCCTTTGTCCCTGCATTTTTTTTTTTTTTTTTTATCCTCACCGGAGGACATTTTTTCATTTTTTGTTCAGGTAGAGTGGGAGGGAGAGAGAGGAACAGAGAGAGAGAGAGAAACATCGATGTGAAAGGAACACATCGAGTGGCTGCCACCCGCACAACCAACCAGGGCCGGGGACAAACTGCAACTGAGGTACGCGCCCTTAGTGGGAACCGAACCCGGGTCTCTCAGGACCACAGGCCGACGCTCTAACCGCTGAGCCAAACCGGCCAGGGCCGTCCCTGCATTCTTTAATTATGAGACCACTTAAGGCTAAGCACTTGCCTTTGAAAATGGTTGTATCCTCATTACACATATTTTGACTGAAAGTGTTTGCAATAAAGGTAATTTAGAAATGGTCTGTAATTGCATTTTTGTTTACTTAATGACCAAAGAGATATTTATTTATTTTCTTCTTTTTTTTTGTTAATCCTCACCCAAGGATATTTTTCCATTGATTTTCAGATAGAGTGAAAGGGAGGGAGGGAGGGAGAGAGAGAGAGAGAGAGAAACATCAATGTTGAGAGAGACATATCTATTGGTTGCCTCCTGCATGACCCTGACCAGGGCTGGGGATCAAACCTGCAACCCAGGTACATGCCCTTGACTGGGAATTGAACCCATGACACTTTGGTCCATGGCCCAATGCTCTAACCTCTGAGCCAAACTGGCCAAGGCCCAAAGAAATATTTAGATGACTACCTAAAAAAACTGAGCCCGACTTTGTATCTCTTCTATAATACAAAGTATTTTTTAGGAGAGTTAACAGACTGCCTTACAACTCCTGTCCAAGTCACAGTCTTGGTTCATACAACCTTTACTTCCTTTTGATCACCTTAGAGGGGCTCTCCTTTGGAACTCACTTTAGAGAACTCCATGGGACAAGAAATCTGTGGGGCCAAAGTGCCAAAGTCAACAGGAGTCCACACCTCTCCTAGACTCGCTCCAGTAATAGGGAATCCAGAATTCCAAACAGCCTCGAGTGGTCTCCAAAACCTGTTCATGCCTCTTCATCTGTCCTCCTGTGGGGAGGTTGTGCTGCTGGTGTGTGTACCCCTAAGCCTAAGGGGAGGTGAAAGAATAGCTTTGATTATGGGCATAAACAGAGCTTGGATGTCTGGAGAGCCCACCAGTGTGAACAAGGCCCCTTGTTATGTGTGATGGGATGAGAAGGTATGCAGACCATAGACCAGGCCTGCATGGTGGGGCCTGGGGGCTCTCTCTTCGACCTTCATGTTCTCCCTTGGAACCCTGAGAAGTCTAAGACTCTACATTCAAGCCTGGTCTTACAGGTCATTGTGAAATTTTATCTATTAAAGTAGGAAGATAGAACATACACTGTTTAACAGTTTGATTTATAATTTTGTATCTTCCTGATTAGTTGTTTCTGAAAAAGTAATAGTCTTTGTTATTTGCAAATGATGGAACAATGAGGAAAAGATTATTACTTGAAGATACCAACCATTCAGTCATTATTTATATTTAAGATCAACATTTTTATCAAAATTAATCAAAAGAGGATAAGCATCTAAACTTCTTTTTTTATTGTTTATTTTTTTCCCTTCATTGATTTTAGAAAGAAAGGAAGGGAGAGGGAGAGAGATAGCAACATTGATAAGAGAGAACATTGACTGGCCGCCTCCTGCATCCCCCCCACTAGGGATCTGGCCCACAACCTGGGCATATGCCCTGACCGGGAATCAAACCAGTGACCTCTTGGTGAATGGGTTGATGCTCAACCACTGAGCCACACCTGCCAGGCAAACATGTAAACTTCTTATACTTTTCTTTCATTGTTATATTTCCTTTTTTTTTTTTATCCTCACCAGAGACACTTTTCCATTTTTTGTTCAGGTAGAGCAGGAGGGAGAGAGAGGAAGAGAGAGAGAGAGAGGAAGAGAGAGAGAGAGAAACATCAATGTGAAAGGGACACATTGAGTGGCTGCCACCCACACGACCAACCAGGGCCGAGGACAAACTGCAACCGAGGTACGTGCCCTTAGCGGGAACCGAACCCGCGTCTCTCTGGACCACAGGCTGACGCTCTAACCGCTGAGCCAAACTGGCCAGGGCTATTTCTTTTTGTTTTTATATAGTCTTTTTTTTTTTTTTTTTTTAACTGCTTTTTATTTATTTATTTATTTATTTATTTATTTATTTATTTATTTATTTATTTTATCCTCACCCGAGGATATTTTTCCATTTTTTGTACAGATAGAGTGGGAGGGAGAGAGAGGAAGGGAGAGACAGAGAGAAACATCGACGTGAAGGGACACATCAAGTGGCTGCCACCCGCACGACCAACCAGGGCCGGGGACAAACTGCAACCGAAGTACGTGCCCTTAGCGGGAACCGAACCCGGGTCTCTCTGGACCGTAGGCCGACGTTCTAACCGCTGAGCCAAAATGGCCAGGGCAAGTCTTTTTTTTTAAATTTTATTTTTGTTACAGATGTTTCTCCTTTTTTACCCCATTGACACCCTCTTCCCCAGCCCCCTGCCCTATCCCCAGCTTTGTTGTCCATGTCCATTGGTTATGCGTACATACATATAAGTTCTGTGGTTTATCTCTTCCCTCCCCCCACCATCCCCTCTTCTGAGGGTTGTCAGTCTGTACCCTACTTCCATGTTTCTGGGTCTACCCTGTTCCTCAGAATATTATTTTCATTATATTCCATAAATAAGTGAGACCATGTGATATTTGTCTTTCTCTGCTTGGCTTCTTTCACTTAGGATAATACTTTCTAGGTCCCTTCACGTTGTCTCAAAGGATAAGAGATCTTTCTTTCTTACAGCTGCATAGTACTCCATTGTGTACATGTACCACAGCTTTTTTATCCATTCGTCTACTGATGGAACTTGGACTGTTTCCAGATCTTAGTTATTGTAAATAGTGCTGCTATGAACATGGGGGGATTGTTATATTTCTTAATCTATTAACTAAATAATGACATATTTTCTGTTGTTCCTTGTCAAGTAAATTACAGTGTTTACCTATGATAGATGTAGTAGTAGAATGTATTCTATCTTTAATATTATGTCCCTAGTTTTTCAAGTAAAGCACACAATAAAACGTTCATGTTGTAAATGCAATGGAGTCACTGCTTATTCTTTGAAAAACTGACTTATGGCAGGAAGAGATGCTCTAAGTAAAACAGAGCCATGAAATTTTTTTTTAAACTCAGTAAGTCAATGTCACCTCACTTATTACAATAACTATAATTTTTTGTTTGTTTGTTTGTTTTCTAGGAGACTACACTTTAAAAATTGACCTTGAAGATTTTGAAAAAAATAGCTGTTATGCCCAATATAAAAACTTTAAAGTTGGAGATGAAAAGGTACTAAAATTTTCATAACTAGCACCACAAATGAATGCATAAAACATACAAGATAAACCCTGAAGTCAGTGGAAACAAACATATACAATAGAATTCTTTCATTTATTAAATAAACCTACTTTTAAAATAGCGACAACTGACCGTGGAAATTGCCTCTGTTCCTTCAGAACTCCTATGAGTTGAACATCGGAGAATATTCTGGAACAGCTGGAGACGCACTTGCAGTGAGATTTCATCCCGAGGTGCAATGGTGGGGTAGTCACCAAAGAATGAAATTCAGCACGTGGGACAGAGATCATGACAACTACCAAGGGAACTGCGCAGAAGAAGATAAGTCCGGCTGGTGGTTTAACAGGTTTGACGTCTCATACGCATAGTTGTGATGGAGTTGATGATATCTCACTGGTGGGCATTAATTATACTACCTCTATGAGGTCATGTCGGTCTTCTTTGTAGTGCTGGTATTATTAAGCAATCATCCTTATTAGAATTCTTCACTGATGAAGTATCTTCGAGGATTTGTTCATTGTGTACATTAGTAAAGCTTAAAAGATATGTCTTAGGAATAAATCAAATTACTGCCTTTACAAAGATTGTTTGCAAACTAAATTATGGATTTTTTAAAAATACAAAACAGTGGGCCACAGACTGGCACCAAAAAAAAAAAAGAGAGTATTATATATAGGGAAAACATTTTTGGCTTTCTAGTAACCAGGTCGCTCTTCACCTTCTCCTATCATAGAAAATGGCTGTTATTGTTGTAAATTTTTCCACATAATAATCCTTTTCAATTCCTGTGACTTTCATTAAATCATTGAACCCGAGCTCCTACCAATGCAGAAATTTCCTCTACAATTTTTCTGAAACCTAATTATATCTGCTGATTGAATATTTCAATGTTATTTAATCAATGAGCTCGTTCCATTGTTGACTGTATTAAGTGTTTTCTTTTATTAACCTGACATCTACCTTCTTATACTTCCCCAGTTTTTCTCAGAGTAGCTACAGAGTAATTGTAATTTCCCTTTCAACGTAAGTCTTCAGGCTCTGACTGAGACGGTATTTATTGCATTCCTCTATATTTTCTCTTCTCTAGGTCAGATATCCTCGATTCCGTTAACTCTTCTCCACCCAAGATTTCCAGACAGCTTCCTTTGTTGCAATCACAAGTTTAAGGCAGGCATGGGAACTTCATACAATCTTCCTTAGAAATAACCTGGCGGGCTGACCTGCAAAGCAGATGTGCTCAAACTGTTAGGCTGAGCACGGGCTTTAAACAGCATCTTTTCTTTTTAGGAGACAGGGGCCACCTCACAATACCTGGACACTTCAACTTTCCATTACAGAATGATTAGTAATTATTTCTGAAATGTCAGATTGTCCATGTAATTGAGGACTGTCCATTTAAGTTCCATAATCCAAATGTCCACATTTTTTTAAATGTAAGCACTTTTAAAGCACTGCAGAATCCTCTATCTTATGAAGTGGAGGTGTACCAGACATGTGTTAATTTTCCCCTAAAACTATGAGAGTCCTTGTTGTGAACATCAGTTATTGCGAGCTGCTGAGTTTAGAGCTGTAGATTCTAGGGGATACGGCTAGTTGTAGGTAGGGTCAAGTTGAATCTAAATAGTTGCAAAACAGTATTTTCTCTGGATTTTGCTTATCTAAAAGTTTGGGTGCATTTAATTTTTGGTCCTTTGTAAGGGAACTGAAGTACATACACCAATGAGAGGGGACAGAGAGACCTTTCCTACTTAAAATCAAAGGTAATGACAGTCTTTTCCCTAGTGGTTTCCTTGTTCTTTTAGAAACCATCTTTGCTCACCTTCTCTCCCTTCCCCTTTTTCTTCCCTTGTTCTTCCAAGTTAGCATTATGTAAAAATGATCAACATTATGTAAAACTTACATATCATTCACAAAGTTGCAAGGACCCCTTCCTGTTTGGTTTTGAACAGAATTCCATATACAGAAATAACAATATCAACAGTTAATGTTAGCATAAGGTCAAAACCATGTACCTGCTCGGTTGTTCAGCTTGCATTGTGCCTGAATGATACTGGCACACATGTTAACCTGGGCAAATAAATGACTTACTTGACCTTAAAGATAGGCGTTCAGGGAGGACAAAGGCAGTGCAGTGGCTGGAGCACCCCCCGCCCCCCCAAGGAGCCTGCAGTATCCTTGGAGTCAGAGGAGATGATAAGGCTGTGCAGGTGGGAAATCAGAAAAGCTGGAGAAAAAGTCAATTGTTTAACTTTATCATCCTCTTCCTCCCACTTTTTTGTCTGTCTCATAGTTTTTCTAATTTACATGAAGCATTGGCACTTCATAATTATTGCCCACCTGCAAGGCGTTCTTTCTCCACGTAATTGATATCTTTTCTGTTTAGTTGGTGTAGCGCAGCATCACATGTGAGTGCTCACAGCTACTTCTTTACAGAGGAAGCCCCAGCCATCTCCCAATCTAGTTTCAAGTTCAAGGTGTTTTAGAATGGAAAGATGCTCAAAATTGGTCTCAGAATAGCTGAGATTTCCTGTGTTGGTCATACAATCAATTCCTAATGGGATTCAAAATCACAGACCAAATAAAAAAGAGTATGTAGTAGATGTCTCTAGGAAGACAGAGATCACCAAAATATATATTCTGGAGGCTCGATTTAGAGTGTTTTCTTTGTTGACATTACTTTCCATGCAGTTTTACAAACACAGTCCGCTCTTGACACTTCAGATTGAGTATACACGTTTCCGATTAGTTCCATCTATTCAGATTAGGAGGACTCTCGGGGTGGTCAGCAGGAGTGAATCACTAAGCAGTAAATGATCCAAGGCTACCCCTTGATATTTATGGGCAAATTATATGTGTGTTTTTTATTCAATAAAACCATATAATTTGGATGCTGTCCATAGATTCTTCAGAACTATCTTTTGTGACTATTCTCCTTATATCCTAATGCCTGACATCTTTTCATTGGTCATATTCAATAAAGAAATATGTAGCAGTTCATTTCATATACAATTATTGTATATTCTTAGTTAATTCATATCAGAAACAAAATTTACAGATTTTAAATATGTTTTTATTGATTTTTTTTAGAGAGAGGGGAAGGAAGAGAGAGAGAAACATCAATGTGAGAGCAAAAAACGTCAATCGGCTGCCTCCTGCACACCTCCTACTGGGAACGGAGCCTGCAACCTGGGCATGTGCCCTGACTGGGAATTGAACTGGGACTCTCAGTCCGTGGGACAACGCTCAATTCACCGAGCCACACCAGCCAGGCAAAATTTACAGATTTTAAAGGAGGAAGGGGGGCTTTTAAAAACGTATGAGAACCGCCCTGGCCGGTTTGGCTCAGGGGTTAAAGTGTCGGCCTGCGGACCAGAGAGTCCCGGGTTCAGTTTCCACTAAGAGCACGTACTTCGGTTGCAGTTTGGTACCCCCCCTGGTTGGGGTTGTGTGGGTGGCAACCACTCGATGTGTCTCTCTCACGTCGATGTTTCTCTCTTCCTCCCTCATTCCCTCCTGCTCTATCTGAAGATAAATGCAAAAATGTCCTTGGGTGAGGATAAAAAAAAATTTATGAGAGCCTAACCCACTTATCTAGATTGGAGCAATATATTAGAATAAAAATTTGGCTCAGCAACTGGAACCAATGATTATTGATTGATGGCTTGGGGAAACTTTAAATGGTGGGTTTAGGCTTTGTTTTTCTTATCCTTGAAGTTAAAATTATTGATATGCTAGCAATTTTAAAAAGGGGAGGGAGCGAGTTTGCATCACGAAAGCTAAGTCTTGGCAGCCGATGGATGAAGGTGTACATGCAAATTATGGGGCCGGGGGCTATAGAGCACTCTGCCACTCCTCACTATGTTAACCCACACCACTCTTGCTGAGGCTGAGAATCACAAGGCTATGCTTTTGTGTGCTTGCTTTTCTTCTTTTGTTTAAAGGCTTATTAAGAACAGAAATGCTTCTTTATCATTACACTCACTTCAAGTGGCCTGGTTTGTAATCTCAGACTTGTTAAGGCTCTAAAATCCACCAGTTAAAAAAAAAATCTGTTGTAGCAATGTCTTGACTTTTGACAACTGATAAATATTTTCTTGTTTGAGAATGGCAGAATTCATAGTTAAGTTATTTTTGATCATTTACTAGCAAAATACTACACGGTGTCAGAATATTTTCCTGATCTGATTGTTCTGTGTTTATTTTTTCTCCCACTAGGTGTCACTCTGCAAACCTGAATGGTTTATACTACCTGGGCCCCTATAACAATGAGACAGACAACGGGGTTGTCTGGCACACCTGGCATGGATGGTGGTATTCTTTGAAATCCGTGGTTATGAAAATTAGACCAAATGACTTTATTTCAAATATTGTTTAATTGTTCCCCTTGAGCTTTTATTTCTGCAATCTTGGTTTAATATGATTTGAAAAATAGCAATTTTGGCCCAGTTAGTGTGGCTCAGTGGGTGAGTGTTGACCCATGCACCAAGAGGTCACTGGTTCAATTCCTAGTCAGGGCACATGCCCAGGTTGTAGGCCAGAGCCCCAGGATGTGGCCAATCAATGTTCTCTCTTATCCATGTTTTTTTCTCTCTCTCCCTCTCTCTTCCTCTCTCTCTAAAAATCAATAAAAAAATGTTTTAAAGAAAATAGCAATTCTGAACATATGCCATTTTTGATGATGGTAATTGTTATATGTACTACTTTTCATTCTTACTTGCCTTTTTTTTGCTTAATGTACAGCAATTATGTAATATTCACCAAATAAACGTAGATTATGTTAAGATTGATTGCATTCCTGTGTGCAGAGGGATATAAGAGCTGTGTTGAACAAAAAATAAAAAGCCTGGAATATATGCCAACTTGGGAGATAACACAAGAGTAAATACATAATAAATTAAGTATGAATGTGGTTGAATATTCAAATTTAAAAATCCAGCAAATAATGGATTGCCAAATGAACTACATGGATAATAAATATCATGAGTAGGGATTTGAACTCAGGTCTCTGACTACAGAGCTGGAACTCTTATAACCCAGGATCTTAATCATAAAACACTGTCTCATACTTTTAGGATGTTTATGTAGGTTATACTCTTCTTTCAGAAGCCTCATGTGTACCAATCCTGTGAAGTAGTACCAATCCTGTGAAGTATTATTATCCCCAAAGAACAGAGCTGAGAAATTATGGATCTGAGAATCTATGACTGTTCAAATTTACAAAGTAAGGGAATAAAGACTCAAATCCAAGCCTTCTGATGCTAAATTAAATGTGTTGCCACTATTGCCCGGCCAGTGTGGCTTAGTGTTTGAGTGTTGACCCATAGCCCTGGCCGGTTTGGCTGAGCGGTTGGAACGTCAGCCTGCGGTACAGAGTGTCGACCCATGCACCAAGAGGTCACCGGTTCAATTCCTGGTCAGGGCACATGCCCAGGTTGTGGGTCTGATCCCCGGGGGGGGGGGGGGATGCAGGAGATGGCCAATCGATGTTCTCTCTCATCGATGTTTCTCTCTCTCTCTCTCCCTTTCTCTCTGTCTTTAATATCAATAAAAGAAAAAAAAAAAGAAATGTGTTGCCACTATGTTACAGATTCTTCTGGCTGAACTCAGAGAGAAGAGACAGAGAATCTCTAACGTGAGAGTGAAAGCGAGACTAAAAGTAAGACATTCCCCCAAATATTGGAGTGCCGACAAGTATCAGGCACAGAGGAGATACAGTTCAAGCCCACGTGAAGCTCAGGTTTTTTAATAAAGATATACACTAACCATATAATCATAAAAATACAAATAATTTTTAAAAATTTGTTTTCTTTATTGATTTGAGAGAGAGAGGAAAGGAGAAGGAGAGAGAAAGAGATAGAAACATCGATGAGAGAGAACATCGACTGGCCGCCTCCTGCATGCCCCCCACTGGGGATCTGGCCCACAACCTGGGCATGTGCCCTGACCGGGAATCGAACTGGTGACCCCAATTTTAAAAGCTGATAAGTATGAAGGAAAAATATGTGCCTGGGCAATATATAGCAAGGGGCCTGACCTAGCTTGGAGGAGGGGATCAGAAAAGCATCCTGGGAGAACTAAGCTTTTGAGCTGACATCTTTTACTTAGGTGTATGTAGGAGATCATTGCAGGCAGAGGGAAACCCTTGTGTAAAGTACATAAAGCAGGAAAGTGCATGGGAAAAAAATGTTGGAGAGGCAATATCACTTACTGATCCTTGTATCCTCAAACCAAAGATTCTGCCACTTAATAGCTGGGTGACCCTGGGTAAGCTACTTAACTTCTCTGAGCCTCAGCTATCTCATCTATAAGATGTTATAATAGTACCTGCCTCATAGGTTGGGGGAGAATTACACAAGTAATGTACTTTGAATGATGTCTTGCACAAAGTAAGCAGTCAGTAAGAACTAGCTGTGATTATAAGTGAACTAGGCATTAAGGACAATAATAATAGATGCCTCAAAATAATGGGTCACATAAAAATGTTAAGGTTAGTTTTACTTTATTCTCTCCCCAGTGTTTCCTAAAGTAGTGTTTCTCAACCTTTAATGTCATAAAAATCACCTGAGGATCTTGTTAAATGGTAGATTCTGATTCTGGGCCTAGGATTCTGGTTTTTTATTTTAGTTTTGTTTTTGTTTTGTTTTTTTAAGAATTCTGGTTTGTTGTTTTTTTTCTTTATTGTTATCCTCACCTGAAGACATTTCTGCATTTATCTTCAGATGGAAGGACAGGCAAGAGAGAAACATCCATGTGAGAGAGACACATCGAGTGGTTGCCACCCACACGACCCCAACCGGGGCCTGGGAGGAACTGCAACCAAGGCATGTGCCCTTAGCGGGAACCGAACCCGGGACTCTCCGTCTGTGGGCCAACTTTCTAACTGCTGAGCCAATCTAGCCAGGGCATGAGTCTGGTTTTTTAACAAGTTTCCAGATGATGCAGAAGCTGCTGCTCTAGGGATCACTCTTGGAAAATCAAGAATGTAGGGAACTGTAGTCCTATGGAATGGTAATAGCTAACACAGGAAGAAAAGGGTCCAGTGATCAAATGAGTTTAGGAGGTGATACATTAAACAAAATTCAACAGATTTCTCTTGAGTACTTCTCAGGTCCTTTGATATGCTAATGTGCATTCCAAAGTTCCAAGAGGAACATAACAGTAGGTTGCATTTTTATACCTAGTTAGAAATGTGTTCAGTTGCGAGGTATAAATCACCTGATTTTGGAAGTGCAAACAAATGGGATTGTTCATCTTATGCAACAAGAACTCAGGAGGCAGGGGGTTGCTGGCCTAGGCTCAGTGCTCTGCAGTGGAAACTGGTATGTCTGCAATTCACTTTGCCCTTCCTTCAAAATCACAAGTTGTCCACTGCAGTTCCTGCTTCCGGTCCATGGTGAGAGCAGGAAGAAGGGTGAAGGGTCAACGAACTTCAATTTCCGCCTTATTGCCAAAATTGTCTCATCGGGTGATTTCATCTGGAAGGAAGATCATGAAAGAGAATAGTTTTACAGTCTCTAGAATGTGCAGGTGAGAGAATTCTTCCCCGTTTCTGAACATGTGCTTTGTACTGCAGTCTTGTGGGGACAGCATTTCATAGATCACACTTCGTGAAGGTATAGATGATGGGGCACCAGTGACTATTTTAAATACAGATATTATTTGCTCAAGTAGTAGCCTGAAGAACTCATACAATTAGATTAAAAGAAGAAAAGCTTTGAAAGGCGAAAAAGTATGATTCTACACTGAATTGGGAGGGGAGTTAAATAAACAAGTATAGTGTTACATAAATTTCAGTGTAATAGTTTTTCAAATCAGAAAGAATGATGTAAAAATTAAGTGCCATAGCCCTGGCCAGTTTGGCTCAGCGGTTAGAACGTTGGCCTGCGGTCCCGAGAGACCCGGGTTCGGTTCCCGCTAAGGGCATGTACCTCGGTTGCAGTTTGTCCCCGGCCCTGGTTGGGTGGTGTGGGTGGCAGCCACTCGATATGTCCCTTTCATGTCGATGTTTCCCTCTCTCTCCCTCCCTCCCACTCTATCTGAACAAAAAAATGGAAAATGTCCTCAGGTGAGAATTAAAAAAAAAAAAAATTAAGTGCCATAAATCATGGAAGAGGAACAGTTCTAATGAGATTGTTGGATTTAATGATAATGTTACCTGTGTCCTTAAGTCCATTTGAATGGACCAGTGGAGTGAATAACCAGAAGCCAGGAAATATAAGCGGTTAGAATAGGGAGGTCATTTGAGAAGTTTAGATGTAAAAGAGGGAAATTGATTATTTTACCTGAAGCCAAAATATCATGAAGACCCCGGTCTCAAATAAATTCCTCTGAAATTTCATCATTAGAGAATTACTTATTGGGCTTTAAAATGCAAATATGCTTTTAATTTACATCAGCGATTATACCTCAGGGCCAACAAACTCAAGTGCTGTTTTTTTCAGAGCTCAGTCTGTTAGAGACGCTGCCTCCCCTGGGACAAACCCCACCCTGCACACTTTCTGGAGCACACTCCCATGGGGTGGGGTGTTCCGGGGGCAGGGCAGAGAGGAAAGGTCTGTCACCTGTCCTCTGAGAAGGGACCGTGGTGAGGTTTGTGAGTTAGTGGCAGTAGCTGGGAAAGGGCTGTCATGCCCTGCATGGGGTGCACCGGGGGTGGTGACCCAGAGCAGGACACAGGCCCTATCTGTGGGGACGGTGCTGAAATGGGCAGGTCACAGCTGAGGCCTGGGCTCCCTTGTGGGGTCGTCCATTGGTGCTTCTAGGTCCAGCCCTCTGGCCCAGCTCCCTAGAAAAGGATCTGTTCTTAGAGGATCACAGTGGGCACACCAGCCTCATACTGGCTCTCTGACCCTTGCCGCCCCTGGGAGCTGCGCCCTAACCCCTCAGAGGAGTGATCCCTTTGAGAGGGTCCTGTGGGCATGGAGTTGGGCCAGACTGTGTGTGGGGGGAGCAGGCGACATGGGGGGACAGGGACCTGGGCATGGGGGGACGAGGTTCAGGAGAGCCTTGGATTCTGCCGGGGTGCCTCAGGATTACTGCAAGGAACGTAGATCTCCCCCTTTCTCTTTTCATTTGACATAGCTCCATTTCTCAAATCTATTTTACCTGTTTAGATTCCACATAACACTTTGTGATTTTACAAATTTGTTTGGGGCAAAGAAAGAAAGCTTTTCTTCTCTGAAAAAAGATTTAAACTTTCCCCTTTATTTTATAGATCAAAAATTGCATTTTTCAGTCGACAGGTATTTCTGGGGAAGGACTTACTCCCTGGACGCAGATGAATTCACAAGCATCATAATAGACCCAAGCATTTTAACACGTCATTTGGAACACTGCTTTCAAAAGCATGTGCACATAATAAAACTATGCTCCGTGGTGGGCAAGTCCAAGACAAGCCAAAACCTTTCCAAGAGGATAAAAGACAGAATTAG